ATTGAGCTCAAACTAAATGTTGCCAATAATAAAAGGCTACCACAACAATATAACAATAATAATAATAGTTCTAAATACCTCAACTATAACTACTAATAGGCCTATAATACTACAATTACTTTAAATACTGCATGTACCCCTTCAAATGGTACAAATTTGTTCTTTCTTTTGCTTTAAATCACTTTGTACCCTTTCTGTTAGTCAAAAGGTACACTTATGACCTCTTAAAGACCAATACTGTATTATTGAGGGAACATTCTTCAAAAGTGTACCCATAAGTACAAAACTGTTCTTCTCTCGTACCTCTATTTTTGTGTGTGTGGGATGTTGAAGTAGGAGACGGTAGAGGCTGGTATCTGGGTGTGTCAGCAGAGTCTGTCCAGAGGAAAGGAACCGTACTGTCTGGGATATTGGGAATAGGGTTCTGTAAAGATAAATACCGTGCATGGTCACCACCAGCTCTAGCCACTGTTCTCTCTGTGAAGAAGAAGCCTCAGAGGATCAGAGTGCATCTGGACTGGAACAGAGGGAAGCTGCGTTTCTTTGATCCTGATGCTAACACACACATACACACCTTCACACACACCTTCACTGAGAGGATGTTTCCATTCATTGGCACAGGACATAAAGTGAAGATCTCACCTCTGAAGATCAGTGTGATAAAGTGAAGCTTTCTGAACCAGTGAAGCTTTCCAGCCAATCGTATTGGAAAAAGGTTCATTCATTCAATGCATCGCAAACTCTATGATGACGTCTGCTGTTGAAAACTTGTAGTGCAAATTTATCGAATAGCCCACCAGTATATTTTGGCCCAATCTCTGATTATGAAAAGTTGAACTAATAAATCATCTAATAAATACATGGATTCCTATATGGATAAAACTATTGTTTTTCAGCTTTGAATTGTGTCCTTGTTTGTGTATTTCAATTCTCTGTAGATTGGAATAAAGTGTAACAAACACTTATAAATGTCTTTCTGCACCTTTGTGCATGTAGGTTTGTGATCATACTAGTAGAAGAATTAATAGAATATATATGACTTGTATGTAAGCAATATAATTTAAAATACCAGTAAGTGCTTCCTACTGCACGTGCAGTTCATGGCAGTCACAGGGACGTCGTCTTCTCGCTGTGAACATTCCCAACCAAGCCAGCTTGCAAGGAAAACTGAAGAGTGGGTTATAATTTATGTTGGGGGAGAATTGATCTCGTGCACGCGGAACTCTGAGCTAAACTAGGACACAGTGTGTTCACAGCTGGAACCCGCGTGTTTGTTGTCTTTCCTTCCGTCTGTCAAAACATGATGGTTGATGGTTTCTATATGCCAGTTTGTATTAAAGACATTTTTTTGTGGACATTATCCACAAATTTCCACCACATGTTAAACATGTTTTTCTTGAATACATTATGTATATAATATATATCAAGAATGTATCTTGAGATCAGAGCTGTGACAAAATATCTTTCTGTCAGACATTTTCGACTCATTCTGATGGTCATTCTTTGTCACGACAGATCATTATTGGCTCCATGACTTACAAATACAGATATATATAAAAAACAAGAACAAAACCCTGAGGAATAAACAAATATTGATCATTATAAGTATAATAATAATAAGGCATAAAAATGAGAGGTACCCTTTAACGTTCATCATTGGTTGCTTCTACAAAGTTCTTCTCCTATGCGGACTGCTGGTCCCAATGTCGGAACGCATTAACCAGGTCCCTGCTGAGAGGATGCAGAAGAGAGATGAGTGAAGTCAGTGGAGACGAGAGCGAAAGTTCAAGAGGCCGTTCGGAAGTGGACCTTTAACGCGTGGCCTGTGATTGGCTGAGGGCGTTTTACTTGTCCTCTGATTGGCCAGTCAGGACCCGCCCCTGGAAGACGACGTCTTTTCCTAAAAGTTACTGTACATTTTCCCTAAAATAATCTCACATGTTCGTTAATCGATGAAACTATCAACTAAATTAATTGGATAACAGTTAGAGGGAATATTGCATTTAAATATAAACTTTTCATCCAGTAGTGTTTCTATAATATAACACGATCCACTCGGCCCGCCCTACTCCCACTCTGATTGGCTCACTCTAGTAATATTAGCCAATCTCATTCCCTTTGCCCAAACCTATCCAATCGATTCAACAAAGGCGGTGTGTAGTAGCCAATCAGAGGCAGAGGAGGGCGGGACATGCAGTCGTCTTCGGAGAAGTTGTATTTTTACACCTTGGTAACTCGGTGGTTGGTACAGTGTGACCTGTATCAGTCCGGGAATCGATCCCTGATCAGGTTTACCCCGGGCTGCTTCCACTCGCCTGCGCCTCTACGTTTGTTTTGACGTTGGGGAGAAAGATGCTGCGCGGGAGGGCGGCTGTGAGCCGGTCTTTGAGGGGGTAGGCACCGACACACGAGACTCCTTCGCCTCGGCAGCGACCCGATGACAGCTAGCTTAAAGCTAAACTTGTAGCACGCGACTGTTCCCTAAACACTCACGAAACTTCCTACTTCCCAAACACGCGGATTAACGCCTTCGAGGCGCAGTGTGAGAAGGCTTGGTTTAGTTTTAGTTCACGTTATGTAACAATAGTCTTTAATCCGTGAGCGCTCCGGTGGGAGGCAGCTAATGTCAAAGTAGCTAAAGTGGCTACTTTACTTTAGCTCTAAAGTAGCCACCTTAAGAGGAGAGCAGTTCATTTCTAACAATCTATTTGCTCTATTTTTGTTGTCAAAGCCGCTAATGTGACGTAACGCGTCTGCGTGATATACTGGTTTTTAATCCTCCGTGTTTCTGGGATTTGATGTGGTGACGCTTTGTTTCAGTTGAAGCTCTGCCTGAACAAACACTTCATATTCTGCTGCTCCTCCTCATCCTCCTCTTCCTCCCTCGGCCGCCAGGCTGCAGAGATCCGGGTTTTAGTTGCAGGGAACATCGTCTGCATGAGGACCTCCTCTGACCTTCAGTTCAGAAGGTTCACACGCGTTAGTTAATCATACACGAAAGAGAAAACAGGCGGTAAACTGGAGTCAAACAGTCTCAGTAAAGTCCAACTACACATCTTTTTAAATCCATTGGGTTGTCTGACTAACTCAACATATCACACAACTCGGTACACAGAAATATATTTGTTCTGGTATCCATGAAGATGAGAAGAAAAGCACAAAATCCAGTTTTGTGAGACGAAAACCAGCGAATTGAATTCCAGTAAATGTTGTCAGAGAAGCAGAAAAGGACTCAAAGCCAATTTGACTCATTTCATGTAATTGTGTCAAACCAGGAGCTCAATCTACTAAAAGAACAGCTGTTTAAAACTGTGGATAAACCACAGACCTGTTTCTACTCGATTCAGTCTGTTGATGGTTGTCGTCTCCTTTTTCTCGGAGGTTCAAAACGTTCCCTCGGGCAGCGGTGGAGGTGAAGAACGAGCCGATCCTCGGGTTCGCAGAGGGCAGCGCCGAAAGAAAAGCGCTGCTGAAGGTTTGGCGGCGTCGCACGCGTTCGCCCGAAACAAAAGACTCACTCTTCACAAAGTTAACACAACAACCTGTGGCGTGTGTTCTCAGGCCCTGGCCGGTCTGAAGGGGACGACGGAGGAGATCCCGTGCGTGGTCGGAGACGAACACGTGTGGACCAAGGACGTCAGATATCAGCTTTCTGTGAGTCAACAGATCCGCCCCCCCCTGCTGGCAACGTCTTCTACCGCTAAAGCTGGGGACCTTGGGCCCACAAGGGGGACCGATGGGTTCAGGGACCCGGTGCTGGCGTGTCAGCGGGTTATGGAATAAAAAACTAAAACAGGAAAGATCAGCAGTCACACAGAAGGAGAGAGAGAATATTCTGTCCTCACTGACCTTCTTTGTTTCTTTTCATAGCCGTTCAATCACTCCCATAAAGTGGCAAAGTTCTGCTATGCTGACAAGGTAAGTTGTAATAAACGTGTTGCAGATGTTGGAAAGTACTGAGCCGTATTCATCGTTGTCGTTGGTCTATTCTCACACAATGTAAACAGCCTTTAATTTTTTAATTATAGCAAACGTAAAATGATTAAGCTTCTTAGTAGTACAAGTCAACAGTGCGCTTGATGCTTTTAAAAGTCCTTTCTTTCAAACTGTTGGAAGTCGGCCGTGTTATTTGAATCTCTTGCATCTGCATCAGGTGCTTTTTGTTTTCTTAGCTGCTGATGAACTTTGGGTAAAATACCCCGGAGAGCTGAGCGACAGAGTGCTGGTGAAAACCCTTTAGTGGTGAACCAAACCGCCTCCTGAGAGCGAAATGAAATGACAAACCTACAGGCTCCGCCCTAATTCCTCTTAGCTAACGCAGACTTTTCCCCCGACCTTCTCATGGCACAGTGCGACGTTGGATGTTCTATGCGATGCTCTAGCTTCGTGCCATGGTAATTGATCGGCGAGCCGTTCTCCTTCAGGCGCTGATCAACAGAGCCATCCTGGCGTCCGTGGCGGCGAGGAGAGAGTGGGACCTGAAGCCCGTCCAGGACCGAGCCCAGGTCCTCTTCAAGGCCGCCGACGTCATCAGCGGACCCAAGAGAGCAGAGGTGCTCGCCAAGACCATGATCGGCCAGGTACGGGAGAAATATAAAATATAGTAATGTGGGTGATTACTCAAACTAAATACACTTGCTTATACTAATAAAATAACTTAAGGCTGCCGCGCCTTCACAATAAAAGCCACATTTACAACCCGTGGGTGTTTGACAGTTTACTCGTCTTTCGGGCCTCAGGGTAAGACGGTGGTGCAGGCGGAGATCGACGCCGCTGCGGAGCTCATCGACTTCTTCAGATTTAACGCCAAACACGCCGTGGAGCTGCAGGACCAGCAGCCGCTGGACGCCGAGGGCAGCACCAACACCATGCTGTACCGAGGCCTGGAGGTGAGCAGAGGCCCGAGATTCATTTGTATTTCAGAACCGCAGGTAATAATGCCCCCCCCTCCTCCTCCCCAGGGCTTTGTAGCGGCCGTGGCCCCTTTTAACTTCACTGCTATTGGTGGAAACCTGGCGGGAACGCCAGCTCTGATGGTGAGTGTGAACGAGCAGGAAGACGTCCTCCACCATCTTTTGGAAGATCGATGTGAACAAACGCATTTCCCTCGTCGTCTGTCAGGGTAACGTGGTGCTGTGGAAGCCCAGCGACACCGCCATGTCCGCCAGCTACGCCGTCTACAAGGTGCTGAGGGAGTGCGGCCTGCCGCCCAACATCGTCCAGTTCCTCCCGGCGGACGGCCCCGTGTTCGGAGACGCAATCACGTCCTCTGAGCACCTGGCGGGCGTCAACTTCACCGGCAGCGTCCCGTGAGCAGAGCGCCGTCGGGTTCTATTCATTTGAAACTTGCGAACACGCTTCAGGTGTCCCTCGCCATTCGGGCGGCCGTTTCTTGACCACGAACGGAAGCAGCTATTGCGTTGCCAGGCAACGGCCGCTTCGATTGAATCTGTTGACGTTGTTTCTTTTTCTTTAGGACATTCAGGCATCTCTGGAAGCAGGTCGCTCAGAACCTGGACTCCTACAGGAACTTCCCTCGCCTGGCAGGAGGTGAGCAGAACCTCATTGGATCTTCTCTCTCTCACAATGTCCTATTTGATTGAACATTTGGGCAAATCCTCTTCTGTCTGTCTAATAAGACAGATAAGTGATTAGAAGGGACACTAATAACCAGATGTGCACCCACACTGACTCCAGATCAGTGCAAAAAGCACGTGACACAACGTGAGTGTTAAGTGGATCGTTTCAGAGTGCGGCGGGAAGAACTTCCACTTCGTGCACACGTCGGCGCATGTGGAGAGCGTGGTGAAGGGAACCGTCCGCTCGGCCTTCGAGTACGGAGGTCAGAAGTGTTCGGCCTGCTCCAGGATGTACGTACCGGACAGCTTGTGGCCGCAGATCAGGGATCAGCTGCTGGACATCCACCGGCAGCTCAAAGTGGGAGACGTGAGTACCTCTACAGTACCACCAATGTACTTGGCGCCGAGCGATGTGATGATAAATGAACAAACATGGTTTTTGTCCTTCAGCCCGTCGAAGACTTCAGCACCTTCTTCTCGGCCGTGATCGACAACAAGGTGGAGCTTCCTCCAACCGTCATTTGCAGATACGCTCCTCTCTTCTGTCCTCTGATGTTTGTCGCACTTCCTCCCGCAGTCGTTTGCTCGGATTAAGAAGTGGCTCGACCGCGCCAAGTCCTCCTCCACTCTGAAAGTCCTCGCCGGCGGTAACTATGACGACAGCAAGGGTTACTTTGTGGAGCCGACCATCATCGAGACCACGGACCCGCGGGACGCCATCATGAGCGAGGTACGCACACGCACACGCACACACACACACACACACACAGGAAACATGACAAACAAACAATCATCCTTTGTGTCCTGCAGGAGATCTTCGGTCCTGTTCTCGCGGTTTATGTGTATCCGGAGAAGAACTACAAAGAGGTGCTGCAGCTGATTGACAGCACGTCCCCCTACGCTCTGACAGGAGCCGTGTTCGCTCAGGACAAGTGAGAGACACACACACACACGCTTGGTAGGACGGGTGAAGAGTGGACCCAGAGTCGTAGAGGGACACGTCTCAGCCTCTGCTCAGGCCGGACCAAAAGGCCGGTGCAGAACCTGCCTGAGAATCCTCAGCGTTGTTCGTTTTGGTTTCTAAGTAATCAGTTTATAACCGGTACAGAAAGAGCAGCAGCTGATCCAGCACACTTTTAAATGTGAACGCGTGAACATTTAGAAGAGCAGTTCCTCCCTGTAGCCACTAAGAAGACCATCAATTATTATCTGAAAAACAGGCCCGATTCCTTCATACAGAGTTTGTGTCTGTGCAGGAATGTGATCGACGAGGCCGCTAAAGTCTTGAGAAACGCTGCGGGGAACTACTACGTCAACGATAAATCCACCGGATCCATCGTCGCTCAGCAGCCGTTCGGGGGCGCCAGAGCTTCAGGTGAGCGCTGCTTCAGTTCTTAAGCTCTCCTTCTTTTAGTGGGAAGATGGATGGATTTATCGATAATACTTATTACAGTAGTCATTAGTAGTGTTGAATAAAAATGGACTAATAAACATATTAAATGAACTGATTTGGCTGCACCATGTTTGTGTGTGAAAATGATGGTGTGTATTTTTATTGTGGATGCTGGACGGGCAGAATGAGTCTAGTTTATTTATTAACAGATGGAAGTCACTCTGTTTATTTATGTTTCATTGAGCCGGGTCATTTTTCCATTTGTGAGTTTGATTAGCAGATTTTTTTTTCTTCTAAAGAGTGATACTGATTTTAAAGTCTTGATTTCCAGTTCATGAGGACAGATTTCTTCTAGATGCCTTGTTTCTTTTAATGTCGCACACGTCAGACTTCATACAAACAGTAAAGTGCAAACAAACTTTCCTCCACATCGAAGGAACCAACGACAAACCCGGAGGTCAACACTACGTCCTGAGGTGGACGTCTCCGCAGGTGGTGAAGCAGACCTATGCCCCCCTCACAGACTGGAAGTACCCCTACATGGGCTGAGTGGGCGGGGCTGGTCCGAGGCCCCTCCCCCACAACAACAAGGGGACTTCCTGTGAGACGCGTGGAGCGGATTGGACAACAGAGTGTCTGAGGAGTCTTCGTCCGTCCATCCGGAGCTCCTGCTTTGTTGGTTAATTGCCGTCCAATGATGTTTGTGAGACAAAGTGTCTCCTCATGAATACACATATTTGCCCAACGCAAATTTGTGTTTTACTAATTTAAAATCATATTTTTGCTGATGGATAAATAATAATCCATCTTTTGAATTATAAATACTATAAATGATTTACTTTTCTACCAAAACAAACCAGATGTCTTTGTGTTGAACTGTTGGTCCAAAACCTTTGAAAATCGAATAATTGAACTCCTGATAATTAGAATCTAGATGACTATGTTGCATCCCCAATGACATTTAGGTCACTAACTGAACATAACAGGTTTTACTTTGTTGTGTCTCATATTTGTTGCTGTAATCTAACTAATGTTAGCGAGTGGGAAACACTTTGTTTCTCCAACTTTTGTTTGTTTGATTTTTGTGCTGCAGCCAAATGTGACAACGAGTCAACAAGCTGGATCATTAAAGAAATGTTCAATTTAATTCAACAGCTGAGGAAGTGTCTTAGAAGATTTAATGCAGATGACTTACACATATATATATATATATATATATATATATATATATATATATATATATATAAAGCTGCTGTGATTTTCACTGTTACATGAAATGTCACTTTGCACTTTTACAGTGCTGAAAAAGTTTTCAATTTAATGGTTTGTCTTTTATCAAACTATGAATAAAAAAAGATTGTCCAGAATAATTCTATTAACAGAACGCGCCTGCCTTCGAAAAAGTGAAATGGGATAGTTAGTTTTAACAATAAATATGAAATTACTATCTTTATTTGGGTTGTTTTTGTTTGTTTCTCAGCTTCTAATCCCTTCTTGGTTTCCATCAGTTTTATTATGGCCGTATCTCCGGGGGGCTTCATTAAAAGGTACTTTAAAACAAGCCTAGAGACAGAAATTGCATTCGTATTAGTCCAATGCGACCACGCAGACTCAGTGTGACGGACTGGATATCGTTATCTCATGACTCCATCCCTCAGCTGAAGTGCGTATTGAGGCGTTCATACTCGCTGAACTATTCTCCGTACTACATTTGGCCCTGATCCCAGGGTGGTGCCCAGGTCACAAACATCTGTGCTGCTCCCTCAGGAGGATCTGCTCTCACTGGTCACCTCCACATCAAACAGAGAGAGAGAGAGAGAGAGCATTGCCATTCATGATTGAAGGAGATGGAAGAGAACACTTTGTTAACACTTAAGCAATACAACTTTACAACATGAGTTCCTTGGGAAAATATCCTGATCCTGCTTCACAAATCAGTATCAGCTTTTCTAAAAGCAAAAGATCATAAACTCTCTGTCCTCTAACGAAGACGTTTATTTGAACTTTCCCAACTGTTGTAATAATTGGTTTTATTACAAAGGAATAAGTAATTATCCCACCCTTGGATCGCTCGTGTTTTTGCCTTCGCTTTTTGTCGCCAGAGCAGCGCTTCTCATTTTGTCCCGACCGGCGCGCCGTAGCTCGAGAGGCGTTGAGTGTTGTGGTAGAAACCCTTCTCCCGACAGCTAACGTCACCCAGACAACAACAACAACAACAACAACAACAGCCCCTCTCCTCTGAACTCACGGCAGCGGAAGGCCGCCGCGGGGGGGATCGTTACCGGGACGGGAGGAAGAGGCAGGTGGGTGTCGCTGTCAGCTCGTCGCTGTCACTCAGCTAGCCGCTAGCTGTTGGCTGCTAGCCGTTAGCTGCTAGCTGCTAGCTGCTGCTTAGCCAAACAGTGAGTTTCGGTCGCTGCGCCGCTAGCCGGCGGGCTAACACGAAGCACACTGCGGCTTCTTCGTAATCCGGGATTCTTCGTGGCTGGTCTCGCTACTAAATGTTCCGTGTGCGAAGAACGGAACGCTCCAAATTAGAGCCAAAGTTCGCTCCCTGCGGTGAGCCGGCTGGCTGGACCGGGGACCCGTGGCAGCTTCACGGAGTGAAGTCAAGACGTCGCGTCCTTTTAACTTCGGCTTGTGTACCGAGAGCAGCAGTGACGGCGACGCGACGTTAGAAAAGCAACGAGCTGCCGTTGAGTCGGCCGTGTGTGTGCTGAGGAAGGAGGATTATTGGCTTCAGGTATCCGCAGTAACGGAACCGTCCCGCTGCAGGTGTTCGACCAGGTGACTCCTGTCGGTCAGTATGAGCTCCAAGGGAGGAGGAACCGCTCTGACCCGCCGCAACTACAGGCTGGCTTCAGACACCGACAAACCCAAAGCCACAGGTACGACGACGACATGCTATAGATGTGTGTCTCACCAAACAGGACTCAGGCACAGGTGAGATCCTGTCTCACCTCTCTCTCTCTCTCTGTCAGGTATCGTGAATGAGAAGTTGCTGAGTGACTACCTGCACCACGTGTTTCCCTGCACCAAACAGACTCCTGCCCCGGCCCCCAGGTAACGCCACACCTGCCTCTCAGTCCCTCAGGCAGCACTTTAAACTTTACAAGTCACCTCTCAATACGTTCATATGCTGTGGTTTAATCTCACATTGTCTCTCACTACTGGGACACTTTTATTTTAGTCTTTTACAGTTAAAGTGATGACGGTGTGACTTTCCTTAAGTCTGCAGAATACAACGTGTAGGCCTGAAGGTCGGTATTCAGAGACCATTTAGCCTGGGCTCAGGTTATGCAACACTACAGCTGGTGAAACCCAGTACATGTATTTGTGTACTTGCCCCTTCGTTGTACCCTGACCTGGCTTCCCCTAAGCCGGGCAGACTCATGTTACCCCCAGCAGCTCTATACATAGACACACACACACACACACACACACACACACACACACACACACACACTCAGTCACTGGGTAAACAAGTGTTCATTCCTCCGGCCGTCTTTGTCTCTTCTGTGAGGATCTTGACCTGTGTGAACACCGCAGAGCTCATGAGTAAAAAATAACGGCGACTCCTCTGGTCCCATAAAAGTCTACGAGAAAATGAAACTTCTCATGTTTACTGAAGGAATAAATCAAGAGTTTATGTCTCAGTCTCTAGTTTCAAGTCTTCTTCAATACAGCATGATGATCGTTTAGTGAATGATGGTCTATTTAGAGTCAAACAGACCATAAAGCAGGAGATGCTTTAGTCTGTGTTTTATGGTTCTGGTTGTTTACCAATGATCCTGAGCCACGTCTTATAATACCTGCTGTATCTGCTGATACACATGTGGTTATTAAAATAAGCATAAATGACACAGTTGTGCTCACGCATGCAGGTCTGTGTGTTTGATGATTGAATAGTCAGAAGTTGCTCCATAAAGTCCACCCGCTGGATCAGAGACGTATCTTTGCAGGATCAGAATGGCAAATAAAAGCCCTTCGATGCTCCTTTTTCCCAAGAAGAAAAGACTCAATTCTAAATATTTAATTATAAATATGTAAAGAAATAAACATGTTGTTTTAAAGGGCCTGTGCTATGTTATGCACAGCATATTGTTCTGGTTATCTGATCACAGCGGTATTTAAAAAGACTCAACAAAAGGATGGTGATCCCATATTTCTCCCCTTTCTTTATTTTCGTCTTTTATCTCCTTCTCCCTCCTCCTGTTCCTACAGGAAGCCTCTTGGTTTCCAGGAGCTCGGCGCTCACCTGGAGAGATTGTTGTCCGAGGGAGAACCCGCCGAGGAGAGTGCAGGTAGAGTCACCTCGATGTGCTCTTTAATCATTCTACCTCACCTGCGTAGTGATTTTGATGAAGGCGCTTCAGAAAGACGGCAAAACGAACAACAAATGGCGAAAGAAATGAAGAAAATCTGCTGTAACACAAAAGAGGAAAAGTTACAAGTAATTAAAACTATTTAGAAGATGTTTAAACGTTATTGACCCGTCCTTCGTCCGTGATTCCTTTGACCTCAGGATCGATGAGGAAGAGTTCCTCGATCTTTTCAACACTACTCGATTGGAAACAAGAGGGAGACACGTGCAGCGCTGTATTTTTGTTACAGGTGTTTCACGCTAGAATTCATCTGTAAAGTCAGAGGATTAAAATAAGATTCAACAAACAATCCTCGTTTTGAAACTGATGACGTCGCACTAAAGTTTACAGTTGACAGAAGCTCAGATTGAGTCTGAATTTAAGGATGAAACATAGAGTTTCTAATAAAGTGGTGATTGATGGTGTTACAACCTGTGCGTCTGCAGATCAGCCGCTCGAAGGCCGCCTCGGCCCTCAGCCCGTCGTCCTGGATCACACCAGCGGCTTTGAAGGACTCCTCTTCGTAGACGACGACCTGCTGGGGGTGAGGTCTTGTTTATTGTGGTAAACCGTGCCGAATTAGTTTGGGGACCGAGGATGTCGCGTACAGACTGTAAAGCCCTACGAGGCAAATTTGTGATTTTGGGCCAAAATGAAACTAATTGAATGAATCTTTTCCCTGATGCCGACGCTCAGTTGAGATTTTGTGGATGCATTGGAAGGAATTTGAGTCCATACACAATAAGTGAAGCAGAACTTTGTAACTGCGACTACGGATCTCTGTATTTAACGTGTTTCTTTTTATCTTATGATTTCAGGTCATCGGCCACAGCAACTTCAGCTCCATCAGAGCCACCACATGTGTTTACAAAGGTGAGTCCTCTCAACCCTGCATACAGATGTTCACGTGCCCTCCCCCCGCCCCCCCACCCCCGCTTGGCCCCCCGTTGACATTAAAAATGTAGAATGAAAACAAACCTATATTACTTATTGTGTCTGCAGGGAAATGGGCCTACGAGGTGCTGATCTCCTCCCAGGGTCTGATGCAGATCGGGTGGTGTACACTCAACTGTCGCTTCAACCAGGAGGTGCACACACACACACACACATGTTCACACATGTTCACAGAATCTGTTGACCTCAGATGGATAGAACAATGCTAGTATGTTTTAGTGGATGTAACCTGAAACAACCTGTGTGTGTGTGTGTGTGTGTGTGTGTGTGTGTGTGTGTGTGTGTGTGTGTGTGTGTGCGCGTGCGCTCAGGAGGGTGTTGGCGACACTCCGGACTCTTACGCTTACGATGGGAACCGAGTGAGGAAGTGGAACGTGACGACGACTAACTACGGGAAGGTGCCGATGCAGCTCTCTGGACTTTATCTGTTTGTATTGCGTGGCTCCGCCCCCTCGGCGCTCACTGCGCTTTGTGTCTCCTCAGTCGTGGGCGGCCGGAGACATCGTCAGCTGTTTGATAGACCTGGACGAGGGCACCATCACGTTCTGCTTGTGAGTAGCGTCACTGTCGCGTACGTTGAGTTCTGGTGACCACGGTTAACGCGCAAGTTCAACGTTCAGTTCTGTTTCCCTCCGGAGGGTCACATGGCGGCTAAATATGGTAGCTTAGCTTAGCATTAAGACTTAATACAAGGGGAAACGGCTAGCGTGGCTCAGTCCAAAGGTAACCTAAGAATCCAGCACACAGCCCTCCTCCGCTTGCTGTTCCATCAAGCTTTATATATTCATAAGGACTTTATAACAGTAACACACAGGCTCCTTTACAAACTGTAACACACCTTCAGCCTTCACAAGTCTGTGCAGACTAGATCTTCTTCTTCTCTTCTTACCTCCCGGAATATTCAAGTGTTTGTTCCTCTTGCCTCTGGTGTGTAGAGGCCTTAGAAGATGTAAGCAGCAGCCACATCTAGGTGCATTTAGTTGTGCGCCTTCACGCTTTGTGCGTTTGTGTGTCCTCAGGAATGGCCAGTCTCTGGGCACGGCGTTCACCAGCATCAAGACGGGCCCGGGCGTCGCCTACTTTCCCGCCATCAGCCTGTCCTTCAAAGAGTCGGTGGCTTTCAACTTTGGCAGCCGGCCCCTCAGATATCCTTCTCGTTCGGACCTCCTCAAGCCTCCATCTCACTTGTGTACATTTGAAATGCACTTTGTTTGTACTTGTTCACCTGGTGAGGGTTCTGTCTTTAACCCGAGCGGGATCACGTACCCTGCAGACGGCTACCTGCCCCTCCAGAACCCCCCCACTGCAGACCTGGTGAAAGCTCACAAGCTGCTGGGCTACATCAAGAACGTCCTCTCCACTTCCATCGACACGCAGGTAGGAGAGAGTGGTCTGCACGCAGGCAGCAGGGGGTGGTCTGCACGTAGGCAGGAGCGGGTGACGTGGACATGGATTGTGAATCGTACCTGTTGGTTTGTGTCGGCTGCAGGAGGAGAGGCTGCTGGAGATGGACTGCTCCTCCTGGAGGCTTCATGGAGAAGCTACAGTCCTCATCACCCTGGCTCACATCTTCAACCACTTCGCTCCCCTCATGGTGACTCAACTTTCTCCCCTTTTGGTCTGGTGCTCGGTTTTATTATCTCAGTACGAGAGCAGTATATTTTACCGGGTAAAGTAATGAGGGTTGTTTTCTTCACAGTGTAAAGTGTACCTGGTGGAGGACGTGCTGATGAACTTCCTGTTGGGGATTCTGGAGGGAGGAGGTTCCGTCGATGAGCACCAGCTCATACAGCAGCTGCTGGATCTCTTCTGGCTCCTGATGGAGGTAAAAACCCTGAAACTCAACCTGAACCGCTTCTCAAAACCAACTACACCCGACAGCCTTGGTTTGAATCTCTCTCTCTCTCTCTGCAGGACTATGAAGTGAACGAGTGTCTGAAGCAGCTGATGATGTCGCTGCTGAGAGCCTACAGATTCTCCCCCATCATCCCTGATCTGGGCTTCCAGGTGGGACCCAGATTCCACTGTTTTATGTTGTGGTATCTTTTTCAAGAGCAATTTCACATCGTTTAAATATACAATTTGACAAAAAAATGTAACAATCCACGTGTTGTCTTTGAATCAAGTTGGATCGGGTGTGTTTTAACGTCCTTCCTGTGTCTCAGATCCACTACCTGTGATAGACGACGGCCATCTTGCACCATGAGAAGTCCAGGAAGTACCTTCTCAACAACGTCCTATATCCTTCTGTCTGTCTGTTATCGTGCGATTTGTTCTTTACTACGCAGGATAATTGTCAGCGATCCCCTGAGATTCACGTGACATGAGATATTTCAACTGTGGGTATTCTTTAAAATCGTAGGATAAGTTACAAAGGGCTGTTTTAGTTTGGTTGTAGTCAAATTCTTAAATCTGAACCACGTAGTATTTTCTGTATGTATGTATTAAATCTTCATTTTACTATCAGTATTCCTCCTTGACAGAAGTTCACGTTCGACGTGCTGCGTTCAGTCGTGTTTTTTTACATCAAGACGCCTCTGAGGGTGAAGGAGGCGGGGCTAGAGGAGCTCATCCCGACCACCTGGTGGCCCACGCACTTCGACAAGGAGGTAGACGTCTCGTCCCTCGTTTCCTTCCTGGCTGGAAAGTTTTAGTTATTTGCCCGGAGGTGACGGGAGCACTGACTGAAGCCGTTGTTCTCTCAGGGGAAAGATGAGCGGGAGCCCAAAGACGAGAGCGCAGAGGAGCGACTGAGACGCAGAGCGTACGAGAGAGGCTGTCAGAGGCTGAAGAAGAGGATCGAAGGTCAGACCGCCAACCAGCGCGCTCCCTTTGTCCTGATACACGTACTACACACATACTACACGCTGATACACGTACTATACACGTACTACACACTGATGATCTTCTGATTCCCAAATACATCATTTTCTTTACTTTTACTGTACTTTGAGGTATCGGCACTTTGCCTTGTAAGTGAGTACTTTGACTGAGGTGTCGGTACTTTGACTGCGGTATTAGTACTTTGACGTCCTGCTGAACTCTTCTCTGATCTCCTCTCAGTGGTGGAAGAGTTGCAGGTTCAGATCCTGAAGTTGCTGCTCAATAACAAAGACAGAACTACGGTATGTTCAGTTGATACTGTCGGTATGTTTCAATCTCTCTCTCGATGAGGAAAATAAGTGAAAACGATTGCAGCTCTTAGCGGCTGTGCTGCTGATCCAGCTGTTGATGTTCAGGCTGTGATTGACAGCAGACCCCGAGGGTCTTCCTGGTCCTCGTGTCTGGGACTCACCGTGAGAGGTCGTTCTCTCACGTCCTGTCACGCCTCCGTGTGTCTCTCTCAGGGGAAGCTTCTCGCTACATCTTCCTCAATAAGTTCCGGAAGTTTCTCCAGGAAAACGCCAGCAACAGAGGGGTAAGAACTCCTGACGACTTTTAATGAATTCATTTAATAGAAAGCTTGTAATCACACTTGGGCTCGACGGTTATCTTTTCGTTCCATTCTTTACTTTGTGAGCTTTGGTTTATTCTCTCTGGATTGTGTGTGCAGCACCCCACCGCTCTGTGCCCTCCGGAGTACATGGTGTGTTTCCTCCACCGCCTCATCACGGCGGTGAGGGCCAGCTGGGACGACGGCATGAGGAAGAGCACGAGCAGCATCCCGCAGCGAAGGTACGAGCGGCCAGTTTCCTTCGCCGAGCTGCTCCCTGCAGCACTCCTCACCGTCTCCCTCCTCTGTCGCCTTTGTCCAGAGGCCTACGTCCCGCCGCAGCTCTTCTACAACGGCAAGGTGGACTACTTTGACCTGCAGCGGCTGGGGGGGCTCCTGTCCCACCTGAAGAAGACCCTCAAAGGTCGGTACGGCGCCCGCGTCTCGTTTATATTGACCTTCCCTCGCCGGTTAATGCTGAAACATTACCACGTTGTTTGTCGTTGTTTGTTTGTGTTGTCGCTTTGGTGGATGTGGAGCCGTCACAGTAACAACGCTGGTAACTGCCCGGTCACTGCGTGCTGGTCTTCTTGTTGTGACCATTAACCAGCGATCTGACTCCACATCTGGAATAGATTGGGAAAAGAACATTATCTTTTAAAGAAAGTGTGAAACGGGTTTCAGCTCCACAGAGTCAGCGAGGAGGAAGATCTCAGACCTCCACTAGAGGGAGCAATGGCTTCGTATTACACGGCTTTATTTATTGCCCCCTTTCCTAAAGAATACTTAAACCTTTCTGTGTGATGGGCTTTATTTGCCCGTTCGTAGTGCGTAAACCTGGTGTGAGCAGGAGTCAGTACGTTTAGGCGGCGGCACTTTAAAGCCTACGTGTTTATCACGTAGTGGTTTCGTCAAGAGTCGGTGCGGCTACTCGAGAGGCCGCCAGCTGTGTAAATATTAAATTAGGAAGAACACAAACGCACCGGATGAATGTTGGTTTTGCCGCGTCAGCAGATTGTGAGGCAGGTGTGTGACTGATGTTCCCTCAGCAGACCCGCTGGGCGAGCGACGCGCTGCTCGTTCGCTGACAAAGGAGATTCATTAGTTGGAATGCATTGAGATGCATTCCAAGTATTGTTCTTCGAATCTTTATTCAACTTCTTCTATTTCTTCCGCGGCACCTTTCAACTCCTTCACACTTTCAGCTATTAAAACCGTTCAAATATTAAAATGTTCAGCTCCTTTCTGGCTTGAGGGCTATGACTTTTCAGCTTTCTACCTCTTAAGCTTGAATTTATATAAATCAATAATCATTAATATTTTAACATGGTTTTCAAATGGAGTTTGTATTCAAATCCTCCTTAAACTTCTTCAACTTTCAGATTTTTCAGCTCCGACAATCTTTAAGCTACAGACACCATTTAAACTTTCAAATGTTGACACAGGTCTAAACTATTTTATGAAAAAAACTGCTTGTGGATATCTATTGTACTTTTTTCATAATCACTGATTATGTTTCACTAGTTCTTCGCTCCGTTTCTGACTTTTACATGAGTGTGTATTGCGTCTGCTAGAGTGGAGAGCTCGAGGCTAGAGTGTGGGGCATCGCAGGAATCTGGTTAAAAAAATATGGAACTTTTGTCCTTGCAGCCAAAGTATACACTCTAGAGGCTTCATTTCTTCAGATTAATGAGGGTATGGTTGTGCTGATTGGATTAATGTGTTCATGGAATCCCAGAGTTCTTTAGTTTTGGCGCAAGGTGTGTTTGAGTGACACAACCTCTGCCAAAAGCCCCATAGGCTCCAATACAAATCTGCCGACATATTTCTCACAAAAATCCACAAGGTACACGTTCTGTCAACGGCCATAGGAGCCGTATTTATTACCGGACAGACATAAAAAGCACATCCACGCGTTCGGTAGAGTCTTGGGTCTCATACAAACGCCGTATTTTTTAGATAGCTGTTATAGTTTTGCGCTGGTTCTCATTTGTTTGAGGTGTGGATTCTGTGTAACTCGCTGCCATGTCTCTGTCTTTTGCAGCCGTTAATGATCACAGGTGCGTCGTTGTCGTGGTTACGAGCACTCACATGCTGCAGGATCTGTCTGTGACTCACAGCTGCTCCTTGTGACCTGATTAGTGGAGTCACATGACGCAGCTATGCTTTCTGTCAACAGACCAATGTGATAAAGACACTCGCCCCCCCTCCCCCCTCCACCCTGACCTCTTCTCACTGTTAATCACTCTCAGTCAGTATGTCTGTCTATTTCTCCTCTCTCTCTCTCTCTCTATCTCTTCCTCACCACCCCTCCCTTCCTCACCCTCTCACCCTCCCTCCCTCTATCTACACCCCCCCACCCCACCCAATCCAATAATTTCAAAATAAAAGCCCCATGGAGGGAATTTTTACTGTAATGTATGTGATGAGGCCTATTAATTAAAAACTTCTTAGTTTGAATAACAAACATTCTGTCTCCCAACCCACCCTCACCCAATTCCATCATTACAAACTAAAAGCCTCAATGATTATCTGTACCTTAACCATGAAGCGGTTTTGTTGAAATACGCATTGCTCTTTCAAATACTACTATAACCACTACGAATATTACCAGTACTTCTAGTAGAACTACAACTGATACTTCTACTACCATACTACTAGTATTTCTACTGCTATTAATACAACTACTACTAATGTTATTAAAAATACTACTATGGCTAATAGTATCAGTATTCCAGCTGTTTCTACTGCTATTGATACTAAACCGACTTCTACTGCTAGTACTAATACCCAAATTACAACTAACATTACTACAAACAATTTTAAACCTCTTTTTATTCATCTCAGCTTTTGTTATTTCTGTACTTTTTAAAATTCATTTAAGCTCCTGCAACTTCTGTTTTGCAATATTTCACATTTATTTCAGCTGTT